ACCTCATGGAAACTTCACTGGAAGAAACTTCCCCAAACTGACACCCCCACAGAGGCAGGGCGCCTGGCTGGGGTGAGCTGTCATGGTCTGCCTGCTCTGAAAGGCTGACTCTGGGCTGCAGGGGGTGGGATCCCTGCCAAGCCCTGGGCCAAACGACTCCTGCTTGCTGCTCCATGCAGCCCAGGTCGGGGAGCCTGGCGGTGGCTCAGGAGAAGTATCTACCTTCCCTTCTGCCTCGGCTCCCCACCCTTCTGCTGCTGGCTCCTCTCACCGGCCCCCGGGCAGTGGTGCCCTGTCTTCACCTGCAGAACTTGTTCTTGCTGTAAGCCTAGGTGAGCCAAGCACTCACTTCTGTAACTGAATATTTATCCCTGATTAGGGCTTTGTTCCCTTGGCTGTGGAAACCCTGGGAACTCCTGGGCTGGGCAGCTCAATTCTCTCTCTCTGTCTCCCTCCTCACCTCTCTCCTTTGAGGGCACCCCTTTCTCTCTCTCTCACTCATTCTGTGTCTACCTCACTCGACAATAAATAGGAAAATGAGTGTGGCATCTGCAGTGATCCTCAGCCCTTCTCCCAGGTGTCAGCTCTGCCCCTTGCCCGATGGCCATTCTGCAGTTGCCTCTGCTGAAACGGATTGGGCTACTCACCATGGATCTTCCTACTCTCCAAGCCATTGCAGACCAGTCCCCCATGATTGACACAGCTTCTTTTCCAAAAGGAAAGGAGAAACCACTCACATCTTCCCTTGCTGTGAGCCCTACCTCACAGCATCCTCTTGACTGTCCTATGAAGGAGCAGGGCAGGTACAATAGGGGCAGGCACAGAGAACAGATCAGGGCCCTAATTCACACCCCAAGCCCTTGAACTCAGGAATTAGCCAGCCTCTCCTGGAGTGGCCTTTTGATCCTGGCCCAGATTCTTTAGGTGACTTCTCCTACACCAAGAGCTGCCTCTAGGTTCCTTCTGCCCTCAGAGAAAAAGCTTTTCTATAGCTCAACCGGCTAAGGCGCTAGCCACGTACACCTAAGGTGGCGGGTTCAAATCCCCAGCCCAGACCCGCCAAACAACAATGACGGCTACAACCAAAAAATAGCCGGGCGTTGTGGCGGGCACCTATGGTCCCAGCTACTTGGGAGGC